CCCCCCCCGCAACAGCGTGGCGAGGCGCCCTGCCCGGGGAGGGGCGGAGGGGGACCCTGAGGACTCGCCTCCCGCTGGATGGCTTAATTAGCCACCTAATTACAAGGAACCTGCCTCCGCCGGCGCTTGCACAGTGCTCTGGGAGTCTTGCAAACGGTGATTACACTCCCTCCTTGGGGGAGCAAGGAAGAAATGAATGCAAGTGTTGCCCAGAGGAGGGCAAGAGGCAGGGGCTGCTCCTGCCCCGGCAGCCAGGCGCCAAGGGAGACGCCGCGGAAGAGGGGAGGGCCTCCTCGGCCCCCAGTCCACATGGCGGCTCCCTCGCCTCCGCGGCCGGGTTTGTGGAAGCACCTTCCTTGTCGGGGCGGCACTGACCTGGGCCGGGACTGCAGCACCTTGCGGCCACTGCCTGCCCAAAAGGACTGGCCGTGCCAGGGTTGTTCTCCCCCCAGAGGCAGGAGAGGCCGCCTTCCAGAGGCTGCTCGGCTGTTGGCATGGACCGCACCACTTCAAGCGGGGCCTTCCCGTGTCGAGCGCTTCCCCCAGTAAGCCACAGCCCCCGGCAACAGGAAAGGTCCGCCCTGGGCCTTCCCGGCAGTTTTCCCAAGGTCCCGAGCTGAGCGGCGTCCCCTCGCCTGCTCCTGGGCCCCCTTTTGCCCCAACAAAGCCGGAGCGGCGGCGTGGGGGCTTGTGCGCACACAGGGGCTTCTCCGCACCGAGCCCTGTGGCTCCGGCGGCCACCGGCTCCGACACACCCGCCCACGTCTGCTAGGCCTGGGAACCAAGGCAGAGGGGTCCGGGCCCCCGGCCTGGCCTGGCTTGCCTGCCCGTTAGCACAGGCCAAGCGGGTGCAGTCGGAGGAAGTGCGCAGCGCCACTGACTCTGTTCTGGATCCATGCGCGCGTCGCCTGGAGTACGGGGCGGGCCCCGTGCAGAGCTGGCTCTCCTCTGCTCACCTGGGGCGCTGTTCCAGGCTGAACCTGGGCCCATCCGACCGCAACGGCCCCCTGCCTGGCGCAGACGCTCCCTGCGCAGCCGGGACAGCGTGTGGCGCTCCCACACCGTCCGGCCGGGACTTTCCGTCCGCTCCGGCTGCGTTTCATGGGTTCTCGGGCACCTTTTCCCACGAGCTCACCGGCAGGACAGGATTTTCTTTACCAGAATTTTCTCCTGCTGGTGCACGCTTGTTCAGACACGCAGGCATGTCTCGGTTCACAGGGGTTGGTGTGAGAACTGAGAATGAAACATCAGCCAGCGAGCGCGCTGAATCTGTGGGGCCGGGGAGAGGCTGCTCCGCCGTACTCGAACGCACTGCAGATGTTCGCAGCATCCATGCCGGGGCCTCAGGAAAGGGGCGATAGAAACGGCAGGCACAGGGCGCTGTGGGCTCCCCCACCCTCAGGGCAGAGGGGGGTCCCCATCTCCAGCAAGAAAGGTTGGGGGTTGACCCCCTGCACGTCCCACCCCATCTCCAGCAAGAAAATTCAGCTGGGAGCTCCTGGGCTGCCCGAGCTCCGTTCATGCTCGGAGCGCTGCTCAGCCGTCCAGGGTGGCCATGAACTTGTGCTGTGCCTGGAGAGGCATTTCTATTTTTGAAGACATGCAGGCGGTGCTAACGGGGGGCGCCCCCCTTTCCTGGACACCCTGCACCCTTCGCTTCTCCACAAAGCCATGGGAGCAGAAAGAAGAACAGAGCGGAAAGAAGCACTTCTCGTGTGCTCAGAGGCACTGTGCAGCCACACCATGCTCCTGAGCATTAAGCCTTTGTGGCACCCGTGTCTGGAGCGGAGGGCTCGTGCCCGCGGAAGCCTCATCGGGTCTCGGGGTGCATCAGTCGCGCCAATTCGGGGTGTCCACTTGGTGGCCAGAGAGAAGCTCCCGCGTGACCCCTGGATGAGGGGAGGGGTGCCGGGAGGTCAGAGCCGGCCCCCGGGATGAGCCTCCCCACTCCGTGACGGGGGACAGTTTGCCCCACATCCTTCTGGGGTGGGGCAGGGCAGGGCAGGGCAGGGCAGGAGGGAGCGGCAGCCCCCACACCCCTCGGGGCACCTGGCCAGGTGATTCCCCACCCGAGAAGCACCCCCCTTTCAAAAGCAGCCCCGCCAACAGTCCGAGAAGAAAAGGCCGCACACGCTCAGGCTGTAAAGGTCAAGAAAGATTTTAGTTGCTCTCTCTCCAGAAATGTCTGTGCAGCGACACACATGAGCAAGCGCGGTGACGCAAAGGAAGCGGGAGCGGAAGGAGGGGGCCGGCGCGCTCTGGCCCTTCCACAGGTTTCCATCGGCTGAACACCCGACGCCAGGGCTGCGCTCAGCTGGGGGGGCTCTCGGGGGCGAAGCAGGCGCCCGGCGGCCCCCACTGCATGTCCCGGACACGCCGGATGGACTGGATCTGTGGCTGGAAGGCCGACCATTCATTCCAGTGCCCGAAGTCTCCTCTCTCGAAGAGATACTGGTAGCCCCGGTAGCCAGGATACTGGTAGCCCACCCAGCTGCGGGGAAGCAAGGCGGAGGGGCTCGTGAGGAGGGCCACCGAGCCAGGGTGGCCCTCGCCCGGCGGCTTGGAGCCACAGGGTGGGTGGCCACGCGTCTTCTGTGGGCGGCCTCTCCCAGTCTTCCTGGGGACCCTCCTGGGCCAGCAGGAGCTGCGAACACCTGCGCCTCACCTGTTGCCCAAGCCCGTGCCTAACATTCAGCCACGTGCACGGGGGGGGGGGGGTGGAAACGGTCCAGCCCAGCCCAGGACAGGCCGCTTTGGCCTTTTCGGACCCCTTCGGTCCAAATCGGCATTTGGGGACACACTTCGTAACGTGGATGCCGGTCGGGCTGTTCCTGCAGCCCCCCGCCCCAGGGCCAGGCTGCAATCTGGCCAGAGTTCTCACCTGCGCCACCTGGAGAGCAGTGGCTGGGCCCCCTCTAGTACAGGGCCCCTTTAGGCATGAGCAAAGCATCTCGCCCGCCTCCTGAAGGCTCTGCCATGAATGCCGAGGTGTCCCGAAGGTCTCCTCCTGCCCCCCCCCCCCCCCAGGAGCCCCCTGCCCGCCCCCCGGCCTCCCGGCTCTAGGGGAAGTGGCTCGGTGCAAGGCCCGGGAAAGCGACTGGGCACGTGTGCTGGCTTACATTCCACTGGGAACTTTCACGCTCCCCACGCGGCCACAGAATCCGTGCACCCAAAGGCTTGGCACATCGTCCTCCTGGATTTCCATCTTGTTCCCCTTGAACTTGGCACTTTCAAAGAGAAGGATTTTCTGCTCCTGCGCCTCCTGCTTGAGAGACACGCGGGCAACCGGTTCGCTCCTGCCTTGGCGGTGAGGCGTGCAGCTCCCCCCCCGCCCCCCCGCAGAATTCCCACAGGACTTGGCATTTCCTTCCCTTCCAAGAGCAGAACATCGCCGTGTGCTGGCCCAGGCCGACCACAGCCAGCGGCCGTCCTAATCCTCGGGCTGAGCAGAGGCCCCGCTCCCAGCCTTCAGGCCCTTCGGATGGCTTGGAGCACGGGGTGCGGCGCCCCACGGTTTGCTCTGCAGAGAGCCGTTCCCAGGATCCTCCGAGGAAAGCCAGCGCTGTCCTCACTGGCGCCAGGGTGCACCTCCTCCGCTCGCAGGCATCTGACAGCCTGAACGACGCTTTTTGGCAGGGCCGGGACTGCACGGGTGAGCGTCTGAGCTTCAGACATGCTTGGACACGCACGGTTTTATGTTACGTCGTCCTACTGTGTTTCGGAAGCCCCCAGAGAGCCGGGCAGCATAGGAGGGCCATTCAAAAGGACTGCTGTGGCCCCTCAGGCAGCTGCAGAGTCGGGCCCTCGGGCGAGCCCCCCGCCCCGCGTGGCCCAGGCTCACCATTCGGACCGGCCGCATGGAGCGGAGGCAGTCGCTGCGGCAGCTGCACGACCAGGTGTCCCACCGCGGGTACTCGCCCTTCTCCAGCACGAACATCTCGCCGCGCAGGTTGGCCTGCTCGAAGGCAACCCAGCTGAAGGGGGATGGAGGGGAAGAGGGGCTGGGCGGGGGCGCGTGGCGCCCGCGTGCCCACCCCTGCGCAGGGCCTCTGGCCCCCCGCGAGTCTCCCTGGGCCCTGCATGTGGCCACGGCCCTTGCGGTTGCCGAGGGCAAGCGGGTTCCCCCGCGACTCAGCTGCCATGCAAAGGGCCAGAGTGCAAGCTGGCTCGGTCCCGAGCCAAGCCGCACGCCTTGCAAAAGTCCCGCTTTTCGGAGCGGAAGAGCCGGGCAGGGCTGCTCGCGTGCCTCGAGAGGACGGCCTGCAGCACGGGGTGTCCTCAGCAGTGGCTCTGGGGCCTGGCATGCCGGAGCGCTGGAAGTTCGGCGCCATCTGTGCGCGGGTGCGCGCGGGTGGGGAGCCGGCCCGGTGCACGCATGAGGGCACCCCCAGGCCCTCAAAGAAGGCTCGGCAGGCATTGCGGGAGAACCGGGGGCTGCACCTGCATCTTGCCCTGACTTCAGACTGTGGGCGGGGGGGGGCACTGTCCTCCTCCTGCGAGACGGGCCGGCCCAAACTGTCCCGCAGCTTCCATAGCTGTGGGAGAGGTTTAATTTGGGCCTCCTCAGCATTTGGTGCCCAAGCCAGAGCCTCGCTCTACACCTCAGAGAGTGAACTGTTTGCACAGACGTGCACACCCATCCCACCCAGCCCGGCAGCACAGATCAGCTGAGGAAAGGCATGAGATGGCACAGTGGGAAAGCTCTTATCTCTGTTCAGCTGCTGAGTGGAGATAAGAGCACTTTCCTCCCTGGGAGAGAAGCTGGTGGCCTTATGGGAACCTCTGGGCTGGAGGCTTCTCATGCCTACCCCGGAGGAAGCAGCCCTTGGAAACAGGCCTCACAAGTATCGGCTGACAAGATGAGCTTTGCTGAACCTGAGGTGCTGCGTGGCAAGCGGCACAGGTCACACGGACCGAGGAGCACACTTCGGAGCGATGTAAAGCAGCCCGACGCAGCCCGACACAAGCAGTGCAGAGATGCGTTGTGCAAGCGAGCACAAAGCGGCTGACGGGGACTTGGTTCTCGGGGCGCATCATGCAGACGAGCGGGGGGGCTTTGGGACTGGGGCAGAGCCGACATCCTCATCGGGCATTCCCACGCGTGGGCCAGCCCCGTCCTGGTGCTTGCTCAGCGTGCGGCCGCGTGGCCGGGGACACTTACGGGCCAGAGGTCACGATGACGCTGCGCACCCGCTCAAACCCCTGGCCGCCCAGGTCCAGGCACTCGCCGCTGAATTCTCTCTGCTGGCCCTGGAAGTTTTCCTGGTCGAACACGACGATCTGGAAGAGGCAGGATGGCCAGGAGCAGGGAGCCACCGCAGCCCCGGCTGGCAAGACGGGCCGGCTGGCTCGAGGCACCCACGCTCTGCCGCAGGCCCCACCCGCAGCTCAGCGCCGGCCCGAGGCCCCGGAGGGACCCCACAGCCCCCTCTGAGCAATCTCCGTGCACAGGTCCACCTAGGCGAGGCCTCCCCCAGCGCTCTCCAGGAGTTTCTGTGTTCAACTGCACCACCTCCAAGCATGGGGATGATGGGCGCTGTAGCCCAGAGGATGTGGAGGGCACTGAGCTGGGAGAGCTGCTGTGCCATCCTCGGGGCAGCGTGATGTGGCGGTGAGGCTGCTGGGCCAGGACGCAGCCCCCGGGGCTCCCTGGGAGACTTTGGGCCAGCGACGGCCGCTCAGCCTAGCCTACCTCACAGGGCTGTGGTGAGGGGGAGGCGGGGAAGGGCCATGTGAGCCGCCCTGGGTATCATCCCAGTGAGAAAAGGCAGGCTGCAGATGCAATAGATAAACGAACCCCCCCCGCCACTGCCGCGCCCCCACGCGGCTCCCGCCCGTGCCGGGACGGCTCTTGCCTTGCTCTGGCGGCCCCCCTCCGTGGCCACAGCCCCCGCCCGGGCACAGCTTACCCGAAAGGGCTCCTCAGAGGCACCTCCGCCCCGGCCACTGGAGTCGGGGGATGAGTCCGTGGAGGAGGGGGAGCTGCCCGTTCCTTCCTGGTCGGTGCCGTTGCTGGAAGCCGGTGCGTCGGCGCTTTCCGACATGGCCACGTCCCGGGGAGGCCTGAAACTGGAACCCGGCAAATGAGAACCGCCTTCCCCCACCTGGAGCGCCCCAGATGCGTGGGCTGCACCCCCTTGCTCCCCCTTGCACCAGGCGAGGAAGGCTGGATTTGGGGCCGGCCATCCGAGTGCAGGAAGACCCCATCTGGGGGCACCCCTGGCACACCTGTCTCTTCCCCCCTACCTGGGCTGCAGGTGAGTGGGGTGGCTGGAGCTGTCTGCTCTGCACCCGCCCAGCACTTCCAGCTTTATAGCCGGCAGGCTGGGCCCCAAGGACTCAGTGGAGGCAGACGTGGGGCCGCCCCAAAGGCCAGACTCATCACATCTCGCAAAGGGGGCACTCGGCCGGAAGGCGATCAGACGGCCGCCCGCCCAGCCCCACGCAAGCCCCGCGTGCCACAGCCTCCGGCCAGCACAGCTGCTGATGAAGCAGCTTCGCTGGATCTGCTGATGAAGACTCAGGCGGCCCGGCCCGGCCCGGCCCGGGGGCGGGGGCTCTGCAACGCTGCCAGGGGGCACCAGATAGGAACAGCACGAGGGGGCAGGCTGTGGGCCACCTTCCCCCACCTGGAAGTTTTGGGCCCTCCTGGCCAGAGCGGATGGGAACTGTAGACTGGGCAGTCTGAGCGAGGCTCCTTTGGGGAAGGCCGCTGAACCCGGCCCAGGCCCGGCCGGAGATCAGGCCGAGCCCCCCAGCCTGTGGATCCGCTGCAGGAAATCCCCAGCTCCTTGTGGCCTGCCCGAAAGGGTGGTCCTCCAAAATGAGGGAAAGGCATTCTGCGCATGTTCCAAAGCACTGCTTTCCCTTTGCTTTGGGGGTCGAGCTTCGCTGATGGATGAAGAGGCCCCAGAGCAGCCGAGGTCAGGTCCCCTGTGCTGGAGGGGGGGGAGCGGCGTGAAGCCCGGCTGCCCAGCCACCACAGCTTGGGCCTCTGCCAGGAGGACGCCCACCCTGGCCAGCCGGCCAGCGCTGACTCAGAGGATTCCAGCGGGCAGCCACCGCATAAAAGCCCCCCGCAGCGGAGGAGCGAGGCAGGAGGAGGGCTGCGGCGAGCGCGCTGCCAGGCGGGAGCTCACGCAGGCAGGTCTCCAGGGGGCGCGGGGCGGAGGGGGGTCGGGCAGCCCTGGGCAGGTGCCCACACCCGGCCCTGGTGCAGGTGGGCCCGTGTCCGGAGGAAAGGAGCTGGAGCGGGCAGCTCACCCTGCCGGGTGCCTTCGTGCTCTCCGCATGCTCAGAGGCACAGACGCACAGGCAAGCTCTGCCATGGGCCGCTGGCAGTCCGCGCACTTGGCAGGTGTGCCCCAAGAGCGCCTCCCCCATCCCAGGAATGAGGGGTGCTCCCGGCTCTGCTTGCAGGGCCAGCTGCAGCCCCCACGCTGCCTCCGGACGCCCCCGCCCCATCCTCGCAGGAGCCACTGCCATGAGCCTCCAAGGCGGAAAACTCTCCGGCCTCTGGAAGGTAGGGGCTGGGCCAGGAGGGTGAGGCTTGAGCGAGGGGCGCGGGGGAGCATGGGCCAGGGGCTCAACAACCCCACGGGCGAGCAAGGGAGCCGGGTGGCCGTCGCGGGACTTTGCTCAAACTGGCCAGTCCAAACCACGGAGTGCCTCGCAGCCACCCTTCCGCCCCCAGCGCAGCAGCCAGCATCCTCTCCGTGTGACCCAGAGGGTGCGGGGCAGAGGAGGGGTGCCCTGGGCAAGGTCGGAAGAGGACTCTGGGGCGCGTCTCCCCCTGGGCCCCAGGCTCCCTTCGGGGCCCCCGGGAGGCCTGCAGTGCTCGGGGGCGGCATGAGCGACGCCTCCTCCCCAGCCGCCTCCGCCAGCAGCCTGTGGCCAGGGGTCTCCGCGCGGGAGCGCCCCCTCGTCCCCAGCAGGCGGCGGCCTCTCCTCCTCTTCCCCCCAGATCGTGCTGTGGGACGAGCCGGCGTTCCAGGGCAGGTGTGTCGAGTTCACGGCCGACTGCTACGACGTGGCGGCCTGCGGCTTCCCCAGCGTGCGCTCAGCTCGCGTCGAGAGCGGCACGTGAGTGGCTCGCCCCGCCGGCCCCCCACCTCGGCCCCCCCGCTCAGCAGGGCGGGGGGGAAGCACAGAGCCAAATTGCCGGCCCGTGCTCGTTGCGCGCTGCCACTGCCAGCACCGGCCTTTCGGGGGCACTCGGCCTTTGAGGAGGAGGGGAAGGGCCATGAGCGCGGGCCAGCCCCCAGGTGGCCAGTGGCCTGGGCAGGCGGGTGGCCCTCCGGGGACCCTCGGAGCAGAGCGGGCCCCCAAGGGGGCTGGGTCCGAGCACCAGGGCTGACGCTCCCCACCCTGCCCTCCATGGCGGGGCCTCAGCAGAAGCCCGGGGCGCCTCTGCCGGGGAGGCCACGGAGCTGGCTGCCTCTTCCCTTAGGTGGGCCGGCTTCGAGCACCCCGGCTTCCAGGGACAGCAGTTCGTGCTGGAGCAGGGAGACTACCCTTGCTGGGAGGCCTGGAGCGGCAGCCATGCCTACCACGTGTGGCGGATCAGCTCCTTCCGACCCATCTCCTGCGCGGTGAGTGGGCGGAGGGGCCGCTGGGGAGCCCTTCCACGCTTGGGGGGATCGGCTTCTCCGGGCCTTATTCTCGCACCGGCACCCTGCCTGTCTTGCAAAGAGCCTGAGGCTGCGCCCGAGGCCGCCCCACCCCACGTTCCCTTCACAACAGCCCTGTGAAGGAGGCTGGGCCAGGGGACTGTGGAGGCCGAGGGGGTGCCAGGCCCCTCCACCGCTCTCAGTACTGCCCCGCAGACTGGAGCCACCGCCTCTGCTCTGCCGCAGAACCACCGGGAGAGCGTGCTGAGCATCTATGCGCAGGAGAACTTCCTGGGCCGCAGAGGGGAGCTGAGCGAGGACTGCCCGTCCCTGCAGGCGCTGGGCTGGCGCAGCACCGAGGTGGGCTCGCTCTGTGCCCACTCTGGCGCGTAAGTGCTCGGGCTGCTGGGGGGGGGGCAGGCGGGGCTGCCCCTTCTTGCACCATGGGGGGGGCACAGGCGGAGACGTCTGGCTGTCTGGGGGCTGCGGGACAGAGCCGGGAAGGACGGGGTGGCCCGCCATCCGGGGGACGGACACCCGCCCGGGCCCGCTGCCCCACAGCCCTTCCCGGGCGCAAGGACCGCCAGCCACGTCCGCCACGGGCCCACGTGCAGCGGCGGGCTCCTCTTCCGCGGGGCCAGGCCGGGCCGGGTGTGTGGGACGCGGGCGCAGGGCCCCCCGCTGACCCCCCTCTCCCTCCCTCCCCCGCAGCTGGGTGTGCTCGCAGTTCCCGGGCTTCCGGGGCTTCCAGTACATCGTGGAGAGCGACCGCCACGGGGGCGCGTACACGCACGTCCGGGAGCTGGGCTCGCACGCGCGGTCCTGCCAGGTGCAGTCCATCCGCCGCATCCAGCACTGAGCCGCCGAGGCGCGCAATAAAGACGTGCTTGCACCGGCCCGCCGCCTCGCTCTCTCCCGTCGGGGCCCCGCCGCGGGGGGCGGGGGGGCGCCGCGGGGGGCGGGAGGACGAGTGGCGCGGGTGGCGCCCCTGCTCGGCCAGCTCGAGCGCGCCCGGGCGGACGGGGAAGCGGCGAGGCCGCCGAGCGAGAGGGGCCTGGCGACGGAGGAAGCGGCCGGGTGGCCCGCTGCCCGGGGCAGGGCGCCAGGCGACAGGCCCGCCCGCCTGCCTCGCGGGCTGCCGGGGGGCCGCTCGGGGTCTCCGCGGCGGAGCGCTGGGCAGGAGAGAGCCGTGGGGGCGAGGCGGGAGAGCGGCGCGGCGCGTTGGGGCAGCAGGGGGCGCTGTCGGCCAAGCAATCCGCGCGCCCTCCCGCGGCGCCGGCCGAGCCCCCCAGCGCTGCCCGGGCCGGGCGGGGGCGCCCGTGGCGCTGCCGTGCGCGCCTGCAGGTGGGGGTCCCGCCGGAGGGGCCGCGGTGGCAGCGAAGGGGGAGAGGCCAGGCGCCCCCTTGGGTTCGGCCGAGGAAGCCGGCGCTTCCCAGGGCGCGCGAGGGGCGGGCCAGGAGCCCCGGTGGGCGGGATGGCAGCCCGGCCCAGTGAGAGCTGCCCGCAGGGGAAGGTGGGGGCGCCCCGGTGACGGACGGAGGGCTGTCCTGGCCCGCGGACGTGAGCTGCAGGACGGGGCGGAGGCCGGGATCGGCCCCCCACACTGCCTGCCCCAGTCTGTCTGGGGCACGTGGCCGGGCCCGCAAGGCGCACCCGGCGCGCCTCCCGGAGAGCTCCGCTTGGCCTGCCGGTGGCCGCGCGGCGAGGCGGTGGGCTTGTCCGGACGCCACCGCGGGACACGCCTGCCGAGCCGCAACACGGCCGGCTCCGTGGGCCCGGTGGGGGCTGCTTCCTGTGCGCCCGGTTTGCTTGCACGGCAGCCCTGCCGGGTGGCCGAGGACGAGGCCGGCGGCTGTCCCTGTCCCGAGGAGCGCGGGTTGGGGCCCAGAGCGCTGGCGCGAAGCGCAGCCAGGCATGCTCAGGCCTTGCACGGAGTGGACGGGGCGCGTGCTGCTGGCCGCCCGGCCCCGGGGCCAGGGCCATCGGGCCCCCTCCCACCCCACGCGTGGCATCTTCTCATTAATCCCCCCATTGCAAAGCCAGCTAGCGGCCCATAATGAGATGCTAACTGGATTTTCTGTAATATTGGGTGAGGGAAGGTCAGCGAGGTAAGTCTGCAGTCAGCGTATTGTTATTATCAATCAATAACCTATTTATTTTCCAACCCTCCTATTAACCTCAGCCAGCCAATCACCATTTCAATTTGAAAGGGCTTTGCAGGATGCGCTGCTGAGTGGACAAGTCTGATTGAGAAAGCAACGGCGACCCGACCCCTGAAGGTGGAATCCAATTAGAGTCATTTTCATTCGGAGAGGAATAGTTTTTAGCCCATTCTGCATCCTCTCCGCTTTGGCATTTCGTGTGGCAAACAGTCACCAGCCACCAAAGACACCACATGGCCCCCCAGTTTAATCTGTGTATCCCCCTCTGCGCTGGCCCCACCGTATGGGGGCAGAGACCCCGCCGGACATGTGGGAGGCCCCCATTCCGGCCACATCTCCAGGCCGAGGGGGGGGAGCCCTTGAGAGCCGCTGCGGCCCGGCCCGGCCCTTCCGACCAGGGCTCGCCCGATGCGCCGGATGGCAACTCCCAGCATCCCTGGAGGGCGGGATGCGTGCTGTGGCCCCACAGACCTGAAGAGCACCAGGCTGGGGAGGCGTAGCTGCAGGGCAGAACGGTCAGGTGCGGGCCACGTGCACTTTCCAGACACGACCGCAAGTCACATCCAGCCTGTTGAAGAGCTGTAGGTCTATGTTCATCCCTGCATTATTTTTATTTATTAAATTTCTACCTCACCCATTAGTCTGAATGTCTCTCTGGGTGGCTAGATTATAATTTCCCTAAAAATTACGTTTTCTTGATTTTCAGTCCTGAGGGGGGCATTAGCAGAAAGAGAGACAAGGGAGGCCGACGGAGTCACAGGGCTGCCCTCCTTCTGGGGGCGGCACAGCGCTCGCGAACCCCGTGTCCCGCTGCCCGGCACTGACTGGCATCGTGAGGAATGCAAGTGGGAAGGATTTGGCCGGGACTAGCGCTCTTGCAGGGCCCAGCCGCGCAACCTGCGATCACACACCTCTGGGGAGAAAGGCGTCAGAGCTGGGAGTGCTCGGGGGCAAGCAGGACGGGCTCTGGGGCGGCTCGCTCGCCGTGCACCCACAAGCTTGCAAAGAGAGGGGCTTCTCTGGGTACATGGCACGACGGAGCAGCATTAGCCCCCCTCCCAACAAAGCCCCCACCCTGTTGCGCTGCTGCATTGGCATTCTAGTGACGCGGGGAGAGAAGGGCCCCCGGGGATCCGACCGCGCACCTCCGGTATCAAGCACACTCTGGCTGGGAAGCTGTGCCCACCTTCAGATGCGGCGTCCTGGCCAGACCAGAGACCGTCTGGCCACGCAGCCCGTCCGGCATTCCCCACGGAGGCTCCCAAGCTCCAAAGGGCAGGAGGCTTTCCAGCTCCCGGCTGCTCTGCCGAGGCAGCGCCGTCGCTTGTGGAACCGGTCGTTTCACCACAGGGCCCCCAGGCCGGACCCCGGTGCCCCTGGCCGCCTCTCCCCTTTCTGCCCCGGTGCCTTTGCGGTGGCTGTCCTGGCAGGGCGACCCAGGTGTGCCCGTTTCCTGCCAATTCCGTCTGCTGCCGCCGCACCGTGCGGCCGTGAGCGCCGGCACATCCGTGGCCCTTCCCGTGCCGCCTGCGGCTCTGCGCCTGTCACGCTTTGCGATTGCCTCTGCCCTGTGCTGCCTGGGATCGCAGCCCAGAGTGATGGCGACGTGGGGCGGAGTGGAGGGCCCGGAGCGCAGCCGACAGGCCGGACAGGCGCAGAAGCGGATGCGATTTGTTCTGGGGCTGCTGGGCCGGGGAGAAGCGAGGTCCCACGAGGGCCCGCCTTCAGGCCGCTTCCCTGCTCTCCTGCAGCCTGCTCGGCGCTCTGGCTTCGCGTGCCGGCCAGGCGCCCAGCCATCCGTGCCCAGACGTCAAGGTGATGGGCGCGTTATCAACCTGCTGGGTGGGGGAGGAGACTCGGCCCAGTCCTCCCGACCTGCTCCGGCAGCATCCTCCACACAGCCCTCCGCTTAACGGCACAGCGTCATTGGCGCCAAGCCGGAGATCCAGTTCAGGGCTTGCTGGCCCCCCATTTCCTGGGCACAGTCGCCCTCATTCGCACTCGCTCGGCAGGGGTGGCAGCCCGGGAGCGGCACCCGGCTGGGCCCACCTCTGCAGCGCACGCTCCTCCCTGATCGCCGGCACTGAATCCACTCCTTGGAGAGCCCTGGCGAGGCTGCCTTGTGGCATCGAGGCTCTGGGAATTGTGCGGGTGTCTCCGCGGGGCTCCCTGAGCCGCGTTCCCCAGGAGCTGCCGTGGTCTTTGCATCGCAACGGCCTGCAGCAAGATGGCAGCTGACAGCCACGGGGGGCCCGTCCCAGAGCCCTGCAGCTGCGGCGGCTGCCCTGGAAGGTGCCGGGGGCTTGCCAGGACCAGAGCCAACCTGGGCAGCTGCCGTGTGATGCAGCCGGGAGTCCGGGGAAAGGGCTCGCGAGCCCGCCCTGCAGAGCATGTCGGGGCAACTCAAGGAGCAGAGGCCTTGCGAAAGAGCCGCACTGAGCCGCCCGCTTGCTGCCTTGAAGGCTTATTCTTGGTCTTGCACAGCGCTTTGGCCTTCGAAATCTCGTTAGGGCCACTGTTGGACGAGGAGAAAACGGCTCTGAGAAGGAGAACGATGCCTCCGATCCCCACACAGCAGATGGGAGCTGCTTTGCCGTGTGGGAAGAGTGGCGGAGTCTTTGAGGCCGCTTGCAGCTTTTGTGAATGGTGCTGGATCGGTGCCCCGGATGCCAGCTGGGGGAGCGGGAGCGGTGGCGCGGCAGCACGCAAGAGCATTGCTGTGCCTCGTGGAGTCCTGCTTTCCAGTTAGTGCCAGCCGAGGCCTTCAGCCCCCGGCTGGAGAAGGTGCTCAGCCACCACGGTGCAGAGCAAGGCGCTCGGGGTGAGGCCTCGGCCGTGGGGGGAGCGTGGCTTGAGTCAGGCACGTGGGTCGCTACCCAACAGGTGCGGCGGCTGGTGCCCCAGGGCCCGGGGAGACGCCGGCTCCTCTGCAGCGCTGCCTCTGCAGTCTGCGCAGGCGGCCTCCGTGTGCAGCCGCGGCCACAAATTCTCCCGGGCCGCTCATATTTCCCAGCTGCCGGGGGCTGCATCTTCCAGATGGGCAAGATTTAGGAGCAGGGAGTGACACGGCCCTGTATCTGTTCTCTGTTTTATGGCACGGGACCCGAACGGCCGGCTGCAGGCGCGAGGGCGGGAGGGAGGAAGTGGCCGCCCCCTCCTGCTCCGGGGCCAAGGGGTTTGCACCAAGCTGTTGTCTGCGGAAGAGGCCCGTGTGCCGCCTGGCCCAGAGCTGCTGAAGTGCCTGGCGCGCGCTCCGTCTCGGCCGTGTGCCGTGTGGCGCTCTGCCACGCCACCTCTGCGCCTCCTGGGACGCTGCCTGGCCGGGCGTCCGTGGGGAGACGGGGCAGGCCTTGGCCAGCCCCCGCCGCGAAGAAAGAGGACAGGCGGCACTTGCTGGCAGCTCCGGATGCTGGAGCCACCTCAGAGCATGTGCAGAGAACCCCGGCAGGAAAGGTGGGGGGCTCTGCCGGGGCCCGCCGCAGGTGGGGGGCCTGGTGCATCTGGCCACCTGTCTTGAGAAGGGAGCAGGCAGGCGCCCCGCTGGCATCTCTCCCCGCAGCAAGAGCTGCAGCAGCTGCGCAGGCGGGCTCGGGCCCCAGCATCCAGCCACGCGGCCCCTGTCCCGGCGGGCGCTTCCCCTCCTCTCCCCACCACGGCAATGGCCGCACCAGGCTCCCCTCCAAGCCCCCACGCAAACCCTTTTGCCGTTGCGGGCGGTGGATTTGCCTGTGAGTCAAGCGGCTCCGCGCCCGTCCTCCCCTCCGGTTCCATCGGGGCGGCGCAGCCCCTGCGGCCCCCCCCCCCGCCTCTCCTCCCATTTCTCGGCCAGATCGATACGGCTGACGCTGGCAGCCTCTCCACGCTGCTGCGCGTAGTTTTTCTTGGGGGACTCGTCCAGCATTTCTCGTTCAGCCTTGTCTCGGCGTGTTCTTTCTCTCAGCAGAGCTTCGCACGAGGCCGGCCATATTTCTTCGGCTGCTTTTTGCGCACCGCTCTGGAGAGCCGCGCTCGTTCCCGAGGACTCGGCTTTTAAAAGTTGCATTTGGCTCTAGTGGACTCCGGAGCCCATTTGGCAGAGAAGGGGAGGCATAAACAGCCGGTTGCTTTTATTTTCCAGCGGGGAGAAAGCAGGCCCTCTGCTTCGTTCCTGGCCATGAATTCTCACGCAGGCGGGGCAGCCGGGATGGCCGCTTCCCGTGTCCCCCTGCTTGTTCCCTGCTCGGGTGGCGGCTTGTCTGGACGGCAGCTGGACGGAGGGGTGGCCTGGAAGGGCAGGGGAGCGAGTGGCCCTCGGGGTGCAGTCGCAGACCCCGGAGGGGGCAGTCGGGCCACCCGGACCAGGCCCTGCTCCGTGCGGGGCTCCGAGTGCAGGGAGGGATGTCCAGCCGCCCCCGCCTGCCCCAGGGAGAGGGACCCCCGGGCGGCCTCTTCTGGCCCTTGCCCTCGCCCCCCGCCCCTCACTCAGCTCTCTGCAAAGATGCCGCCCCCGCCGCCACGGCGCCTGTGTGTGGCGGGCTGCAGCGCCCGGCCGAGGCCTCGCGCCGGGAAGCCGGGCTCCGCGCGCCTGCTGGGCCTCCCCGGCCGAGGTGCTGTGGCCCGTCGGCTCCCCGGCACAGGAGGCAGGACGGGCGTCCCAACGCTGGCTGCTCCGTCTCCTCTTGCTCCGAAAGGGGGGCGTCCGCACCCCCGGGGCGCTGACCTTGGCCTCCTGCTGTTTCTGTCCAGATGTTGGCGGGAGTCCGTCCTCCAGCTGAAGCCCATGAGCCTCCCTGGCCACGGGGGACAGCCTCGCCTCTTCGGGGGCTGGCAGCCCCTCCGGCCCGTGAGGGATTCTCTCGCGGCCCCCTCTGCCCGCCCTTCCCTCCTCCAGGGCAGCCCTACCTGTTCGCTCCACTCCCTCCCCCCCCCACCTCCAGCCGCCTCTTCCCCTCCTCTCGCCCACCTTGCTCCTTCCTCCCAACTTACCAGATTTCCCGGGCTCCAGGGAGGCCCCCGGTGGCAGCGCTCGAGATATCAGAAGCCCCTCGACCCCCTGGGCCTCGGGTGCCGGCCAGAGCCCCTCGAGAGGCCGCAGTGGCCCAGGCTGGCTCGCGGTGTGGCTCTTCCCATCCCCTTTGCTGCGACTGCCCCCCCCCCCCGCCTGGATCTCCAGCGACTGTGAGGAGGGGCGAGCCCGCATCCCCGAGCCCTGGTGCGGAGCTGCTGCCCCCGGAGCCCAGCGGGCTAGCCTGGGCTCTGCGGCCCGTTCCCCAGAGATGCCCGCCGGACCCAGGCCCGGTGCCGGACCTCCCGCGCGGGAGCCCCTGCAAGCGCCATCGTGCCTCCGTGCCAGGAAAGCGCTGGCCGGCAGCTCTGCTCCTTGGTGGCACGGAAGCCATTTCCATGCAGATGATCCTCTAATCTGCGCCAGGAGAGGGGGAGGGGAAGCCCTCCGACTGTTGATGAAATTCAATCTCACCTCCAGTCTGATTATGATAATTTGCAACGCGCCGAGGAAAAGTGAATTATTATTAAATGCAAATAAAAGTTAAATAATGTTGTTTGGGAGCTGCTCAAAATGACAGAAAAGCTATAAATTAGGAGGAGAGATTTGAACTGCAGATAATATATCACGGCACGGGTAGCTCTGCGTCTCTCAAGGTCTAGGCGAGCGGCAGCCCTTCCCCTGCAGCGCCCCTGCGGCTCGAGTGGGAAGGAGGAGCGGCCCCCGGGCCTTCCCAGGTGGGGGGCCACGGCGTGGCCTCCGCCTGCCACTGAGCGGCGCGTGACCAAGAGCAGGGGGGCCCACGTGGGCGTCAGGGCGCCCCGAGCGGCCCCCCCAGTCAAAGTGCCCCCTGTGCCCAGAGAGCAGGCCCTGGTTCCAGCTCGCCTGCCAGGCATGGGGCGTCCGCGGGTGTCTCCTGTCGAACACGGCCGGAAATGCTTTCTCTTTGCAGCCGTGCAGCTGCTGCAGGGGCAGCTGTGGGGGCAGCAGGGGCCAGTGGGCTCGCAGGAGCCACGCTCAGCCGTCCCGCAGGAATGCAGGCCCCCGGTGGCGACTGTAAGCATGCGGCCCATGAAGCATTCCCTTGGCAGCCCCCTTGCAGACGGATTCCGGCTGCCCGCATGGCCTCGGCAGGGCCGGCGGCGGTTGTGGACGGCATCCTCTGGCAGGCGGCCCGGCAGTCCTCCTCCACCCTCCAAGGGCCGCCAGGGTCCCGCTGGGCCGTTTCTCGCCGGGGGCCGCGGTGCAGCCCTTCGGGGCGGGTCGCTCGGAAGGTCTCTCTGCGTCCGGGACGTCCTGAGCCCTCCTGGGCCGAGCCGAAGCGCCGCCTGCTGCTCTGAGCAGACCCGGAAGCGCTTCCCAAACATCCTCAGAAACCATCATCGTGTTTAAATAAATGCATGCAAGGGTGAAACTGCATGGCTGTGCACGGGAAGGAGGCGGGGGAGGGACTGAAGGCCCATCTCTGGAGGGGGGGCTGGCGAAGCCCCGTGGACGCTTTGGGGTTTGCCTCTGGGGTGTGGGAAGGGAAATTAAGAGGGTGCGAAAATAAACCAGGTGGGAATCGTCAAATGCCGGCACCGCATCCATTCTCTAAGATGTGATTTATATTCTCCGAATTAACTCTGGTCCCCAGTTCCATGTGCCCGTGGAGCCTGAGGTTTCGGAAAAGCAGAGCGTGAAAACATGGAGCTTTGGGAGACTGGCAGGATTCATGTTAGGGAATACGGGAACGCTGCTTTGTGCTTGGAAGCATCGCCCCAACCCTCGTGCTCGCCAGAGATCGCCAGGCCCCCCCAGTAATCAGCAGGACCTCCCGAGCGCAGTGAGGGGGCAGAGGGGCACGGTCCACAGCCCCGCTTCTCTGCCCCCCAAAGGTGGAGGGAAAGGCACGTGGAGGCCCGTGGCTACCCACGCTGGCCTCCCTGCTGGTCTCCCGAGAAGCCGGGGCTTCCTGGCTGATTCATTAATGCTCAGAGTAATCGGTGGTGGTCCCTCCGCCATTCCCCTGCTGTTGTTTTCTGAAATCTCTCACCGTGCAGAATCCCCTCGCGATTCCCCCGTTATGTCCCATTTTATTAAAGCACCATTGAACTATAGCCTATTGATTTAGATTTCACAGACAATTGAAATTTAAATTGACTCCAAATTGAATGCCTCCATTCAATCCACAGGCTGCGCCAAGGCTGATGCGCTGCCGGTTTCCAGCCGCAGCGCAGGAAGAGCGTTTTGCCTGCCGGAGCGGCTGGTGGGAGGGCGGCTGCGTGCCTTTCGCTCAGCCCCTTCCGTCTGTGTGTGCGTGTTGTCCGGCAGCTTTCCTCCTGTCGCCCCTCAGTGACGGGTTTCTTTAATGAGAATTTCATTCTACATGTGCAAATTCACATCAGTGCAAATCCTCCCTCCGGGGGCAGAGTGTTTCACGCAGGCTTGGATAAATCCATGCCGCTCGGACGCCGGCTGGCTGCAGAATCCGCGGGTCCTTCCAGGTTCCTTCCAGCCGCCCAGCTGGGTCTCGTGGCCGAGTCGGGAGGTGGCCAGGCTCTGGTGTCTTCGGCAAGCAGAGGCCGCCTGGCACACGGGCTCAGCGCTGCTTAACGAGGCCCTGCAGACTTTCCCTCAGAAAGCTGCACGATCGGAGGGGTGGCGGGACCTGCGCGGGGGTGCACGGAGGTTGTTCGCTTGCTGCCTGGGAGACCTCCCGGCGGCCTCCGGGGCAGAGCGAGGCACAGCCTGCGGCGCCAGGAGAGGCTGCTCTGCACCGCGAGGAGCCCTGCCCCGAGGGGCGCACGGAGCTCTGCGAGGAGGCCGCCCGCCGCTCGGCCAATTGGCCCTCCCCCCGTGGCCCTCCCTGGGCCCGCGCAGTGCCCCACAGGGCCGGGGGACCAGGACCGGGGCCCGCGGCTTCGCACTCGGCAGCGGGCTCTGCAGCAGCGTTTAACTGGGGATCTGGAACCAGCAGACCCTCCCCGGCCCAGCCGTGCCCCCGGTCCACGGGGGCCGCCCACAGAGCAGTTGAGGCCCCCCCTGGGCTCTGGCCCATCCATCGCCCGGAGGCTCCGCTGCAGCCACAGCATCCTGCGCTTCCCTGCCTGCATCCCCCAAGCCCCGCCACGGCTTCCCAAGGTGCCGCTCTTCACCAAGAATAATTGACGTTAATTAAAGAGGAGCGAAGAGTCATCTTGCTGGTGAGAATCCCAGGGGGGTTGTGCTTGCCGTTATCTACATATAGATTAGAAACTGTAATTGGACCCGAGGTGGGACCAGGCGGGATCTGGCGCCTTCCGCCCGGCTGGTCACCGTGAGTAACGGGCTGCAAGGCCCGCGCGGCACCGCTCTCCGCCAAAGGGCTCGGTCCCCCGGCCGTGCGGGCGCTGGAGGAGGCTGGCACGGGAGGCGAGCCCAGGGACACGACAGCGCCCCCTGCGGGCTGCCCGAGGGACTGCCTGTCAATTCGGGGCACAAAACATGGGCGCCTGAGCCGGCCTCCCAGCCGGACCTGCTCTGCGGGCCGACGTCTGTCAGCCACGAGCTGCTGCGGGCAGAGGCGGCCTCCCACCCCTCTCCTCCTCTGGGACGTGGGCAAGGAGAAAGTCGTGATCCCAGCTTGCTGCCAAGGACTGGGGAATTATGGGAGTTGTTGTCCCACGGAACTGGGGAGTGCCAAGTTGGGGAAGATTGGAGCAAGCTCTTTCTCGCACAAGACCCTGAGCCGGCTCTTCAGCTGTTGTGTCCGCCTCTGTTGCGGACGCACGATCTGGTTCTCCTGTGCCACAGCCTCCAGGTGGCGCTGCGGGATGGTGGAATAGCGCAAACGTGCAAAGTAAACAAAGGCGCTCCCTCGTGTTTGCGATTAAAAGCAGCTCTTCCGCGTGTGGTTTGAGTGCAGACCTGGGGCTGGAGGGCCGCGAAGTTCTCGAAGGACCCTTGCGAGCAGGGAACCGCGTGGGAACCGCGTGCCTCCCGAGGACAGCCTGAAACCGGTGGGGTTCCTTGTCCTGCCCCACGTGATGCGAGGAGAACGTTGACTCTGAATGAACGAAGGGGTGGCATCCCAGCGCCCGGCATCGCGCAGATGCACGGAGGCTGCGGCAGGACGCGGCTCGAAGCGGTCCCCGGTGTGGCCTGCGCTTGGGTCGGCCAGGAGGGTCTCCATGGCCCCCCGTTCCGGGGCCTCTTTCCTCCATGCCGGTCACGCTCCGGCCCAGCGTTCTCGCCACGCTGCAGTGCTGTCCTCAAGGGGCATCTCAAGTTCCCCCGAAGGATCTGTTTAAGCCGCAGCGGCCTAGTTGTTCCCCGCAGCCCTGCAGTGGAGCCCGGTCCACACTCTGGGGAAGGTTCCTTTGACATCGCAAGGCTAGCCAAATAATACGTAGAGCAAAAGGAAGAAAGAAGCTTTAAAAGCGCGTTCGTGTACGTGCCGCCTTTCCCCGGAGAGCCTGCCCTGAGGCAGCGGACGCTGCAGAAGCGCAGCCGGCCGTGGCACCGACCGGTTCCCCTGCAGCACCGACGGGCAGCTCCGGGACCGGAGAGGCGGCGCTGTATTGCCCGCCGGGGCCGGCGTCGCAGGCCCAGCCTGCCGTTGCCGTAGGAAGCCCCTCTGGATCGCTCTTCGAGGCCGTGCTCACGAAAGCGTCGTCCACCCGGCATCTGGGGCTCCCCAGCTCCCCAACTGGCCGGGCGCCCTCACCGCAGGAACAAGGACGGGGGGCCTGGGGAACGCCCGGCCAGGCCAGCCCTGCTGCGGGAGCGTCGGCTTCCTCCGCCCCCGAGACCGTCCACCGGGTGTCCCCCTTGGCCTTCGCTGGAGACGGGCGGGCAGCTCCTCGGCGAGGCAGGCGCAGGTCGTGGGCTGCGGTCTGCTCCTGCGCCCGGCCTGGCTCACCTCTCGCAGGCGGCGGCAGGCGGCCTGTCCCCTCCCACAAAGCAGCTGGCCCCAGGTGCCTGCTGTGGCGTGGGGTGGGGTGGGGTGGGCTGCGCTGCGCTGGGGGGTCGGCCTGGACCGATGGCCGGCCTGCACACCGGTCCCACGCATGGCAACCGCGCTCCACCTCTGTTCCTTCCTCGCGGACGCGGCTCTGTGTACACGCGGAGCGAAGAACACACCCGAGGCAGGAGCGTGGAAGTGCGACGTTGCCAGGGGCCTCACAAAAGAGGAGCCACCGGCCAAGCAGGGCTCGGTTGGAAGGGGGCGCCTGGAGGTCCGTGGCCTGTTGCCTTACAGGAGGGGGGCGTCGATCCCCCGGTTTGGTGCCCCCGGGCCTTTTGCCGTGGAGAGGGTGCCGAGAAGCCGTTTACGCGAACCGTCAGTTAAATAACTTTAAAAGAAGCATTAGCTGCATTGCAGCACCAATAATTAGCTGAAGGCTGAATTAAGCAATCTCTGATTAAAGAGATGATTCAGCATCCGGCAAACAGGGCGCAAAAGGGGCTGTTCGACAAGACGCCCCCCAAGACCCGTCGCGCGATCGATCGGCGGTGCCAGAGCGAGGGGCGCGCGCATCTCTGTGTGCCCCGGGGCTGGGGCAAGGGGCCCGGGTCTTGCAGCGCAGAGCAGTCGGGCAAAAGATTAGAATGCCTGAGTAGCAGCGGCAGAAAGGGGCTCCAGTGCCGAAAGGCGAATCCCCAGCAACGCGCTGGAGCCCCCACCCCGTGCTCTTCTGCCCAGCTCCCTCTGCCTGGGGGGGGGGGGGGGCGGGCCGAAGGCACCCAGGCATCCGCTGTGCAGAGATGGCGCATCTTGCCCCCTGCGCTTGCCCCGAAGCCGGCCCCGCTTCCCTCCTCGGGTTGCAGCGCAGGGGTCCGTGGGAGGGTCGCCTCGTGAGCCCAGAGACACCCCAGCGGCAGCCGGGACTCCACGAGGCGCGGCCACCCCGATCGGATGTGCGTCACGTCACCAGAAGGATCCGCGTGCTCGGCTGTATTTCACCCGCATCGTAATCTAGGCACAATTCAGTGCGTCTCGTGAGCATGCATTATGCACGGCGGCAGAGATATGGTGCCATAAATGTGCTGCATCTCTTGTTTTAAAAATTGCCAAAGTGTTCTCCTGCTATTGAAACAATTCAAGTGCCATGGCCATTACTGTAAATAGTGGATTAGGAAGAAGATGCGAGGGAGCCGGTCCGGGGCCTTCCAATTAATATTTTAGATAAACATGACATTTCCGGGCTCCTTCCTAATTCAACTTCTTCATCTCTCCCTGACACCCCCAGCTGAGGGGGCCACCGAGGACGGTCACTGTGGCACGGAAGACTCTCGCCCCAGTGGAGGGAGGAGACTGACAGCCGCAACCGAGGACCCTTCGGGGCCGGGCGTGATGCTTGGAGGAGCCGGGAAAGTTGTTCGAACTTTGTGCGCTCCATTCAGCTCCCTCCTGGACCGCTTGTCCCAAGATTCCCTAATGCGATTCCCCAGGGAAAGGCTGCTCCGGGAGGCGTGTCAGTCTGATGCATCCGCACCGGGCTGCCTGGGTCCTGCCGCTTTCTTTCGGGGCGAGGAGGGAACATTCCCCGTGCAAATGCCCTCGAGTAGATCAAGTGGGGTGGCCAGGAGAGGAGGGGGCGGCCGGTTTGCCGAAGGAGCAGATCGTTTCCTGAGCGGGCAGGCAGTGAAACTCCTGGGCTGGCGCCGGCCTCTGCGTCTGGGAGGAGTGGGACTCGGTCGGCCCGGGCGCTCCCCGGCACGGCGCTCCCCACACTACGGTCCCTGCTGTGGGCAGAGAACCTGACAGACCGTCCCAGCACGATCCGAGCCGTGCCCTCCGAGTGTCCCAGCGCTGCATTCCCGGCTTCGGGATGCTCCGGACCCCCTTCCCTTTCCCAGAGAGGACGACGCTCCTTTCCTACTCCTGAGAAGGCTCACTGTCGGAGCGTGGGGACGCAAGCGCTGCAGCCGGGCCCAGCTCCTCTTGTGCTGCTACGCCAGCTGCCTCCTGGCAGGAAGACGGCATCCCCGGAGCCGCGGGTCACGCAGCACTGCGATGGAGAGGCTCGCCGGGGCAGCTGGGCGCCTGCCTGGGGGCTGCGGGGCTGCCAGCCCCATCGCGCCTGCGGGGGCCTCCAGCCTCCGGAGGGGCTGGCGAGCGGGAGTGGCGAGGGCAGGGATCGTGCAGAGGCTTGGCAGGCAGACTCTTCCGCAGACCGGCCGGGCACGGTGCTGCGGGGGGGAGCTTTGCTCGCTTCCCGCCAGCAGGAGTCTTTCTCGGCGTGGCGCTGCCTGCTGGCACGGCGTGTGGGAATCCCTGCCTCAGACAGCGACACGCCTGCTCAGCTGCGGCGGCTGCCCAAGGCGCCCGGCCTCACCTCTCCGGAGCGCAGCCTCGCTGGGCGAGCCAGGCCCAGCCGCCGAGGTCTGGGTCGTCCGGGCGCCCCGCACGTGCCGCTCAGAGCTGGAGGAGGCCAGCCCCGCGGCCGGGGAGCCAGACGGAGGCCGGGGCAGCTCTGGGCAACCCGACGATCCTCGCAGCGAGTTTGGCCCCCGCGGCTCCTGCCAAGAACCGGCTCTCGTGACTCCGAGCACCTCTGCTGGCGGGGAAGCCCCCGGCCCCATGCCCACCCTCCACTCCAGATCTTATAGAAAGCGTCGGCTGCCCCCTCCTGAATCTCGCTAAATGATTTGTCTTTTAAGTATTGCAATGGCAGTATTTTTTTCTCTCTTAGAAAAAGCCAAACACTGTTTTATGCAGGAACGCAAAAATTATTACACGTAATTAGAGTCATTTCGATTCCAATCTCCGCTTGTGCCTGACATATTTTGCATTCTTTGCTGGCATATAACAAGTCAGCTCATAAAAATGCAGTCAGCTTGTGAGTGCCGTGCGGCTCGGGCGAGATCGGAGGTTGTCTAAACTAGCGTGAAAACTGCTTCTGCTTTGGAGCGGGGCGTGGGGGGAGACGCGGCGTAAATTTATTTTGTCTCATTAGGGAGAAAGGCAGAAGCACCGCGCTGCATTCCAATCAAGGCGCCGTGGCCGTCGCCCGGCACGCGTGGCTCGGCCTCCTCCGCGGAGCCACACGCCAGAGAGCGGCCGCCGCGGGCGAAGGGAACGGGGCCCGGGCGCCACTTGCGCGGACCACGCCGGGCCCCGGGGGATGCGTCCGCCCGGAGGGAGCCCGCGTCCTCTGTGCCCGCTGCTCCCAGCACCCAGGGGGCCAGTCCGGCCAGGCGGCCCCCTGCCTGCCCGCCACAGCGGCTCCGGGGCAGTTCTCCTCCCTGCCGGGGGCCGAGCAGAGACGCCGAGTCTGTCCCCCATTCCTTGGGCCTCCCTGGCACCTCGCCCCCCCGCCCCATCAGTGGGCAGTTTCCTGGCCGCTGCCTCCGGAGCAGGCGCGATCGTCCGCCCGGGCCGGCCGAGAGGCCGCGGTCCTTGCGGCGTGGCGAGCAGAGGGCGGGCTGCTGTGCAGCAAGCCCTGTGGGGCAAGGAAGGGCAGGGCGCTGCCTCGGGGGGCCTCAGGCCTGACCCTGGCCCTGGCCCTGCGCAGCAGCCGGGTGCAGAGGAGGGAGCCGCGCTTGCCTCGTCCCAGGAAATATGGGGCAGCCGCACACGCCCCTCGGCCGCTGCCAGAGACGCCTTTTGAAAGCGCGCGTGGGGATTCGCACGCACGTTTGCACGCAGCTCCCCTCAAATTTTGCAGTGAGTTTCCTGAATACTTTTCCGAGGACCACTTTCAGCAATGCAGGCATCTGACCGCAGACCCCTGCAAAATCCAGAGACGGGCGCATCTGAAGGGAAGAGGGAGTTTGCACCAAGAGAACAACATTCGGCATGTTTGCGTTAAAATGTGAGCTGGACCATTTCCTTCCCATTCCCGGGAGGGGGTGGGGGGCTAAGCAGCCCACAGTGATGGCAAGTCAGAAGATGTGACGGAGAGATCCGATTAGCGTGCGGATGAACTCCAGATGCTGCCTGAGCGGGGGCAGAGAGCCCAGGAGGGCGGTGGGGGGGGTGTCCCTGCAGCCATGGCGAGCGGAGGTGCCCAGCGCCGCCTCTCGGGTGGGGGGGACACTGTGGCCCAGGCTCCACAGTGGCCAGGCTAATGGGAATTGGCTTTCTGGGGCTGGGGGCTGGCCCAGAGCACGCGGTCTTTGCCCGACTCGCCCAGAGACGCTCCCGCATTCCAGGCGGCCAGACAGGTTCCCAAGGAAGAGATCGGCAGGTGCCCCGCTCCCCCGCAGGGCGATCCGTCCTTTCATTCGCCTTCGGCTGGGCCTCCGTGGCTGCGGCCGCCTCCCGGAGGGGCTCGCCTGCCCTTCTGCCTTCTCCCGTTACCCCTGGGCTCCCTCTCGCCTGGCCCTTTGCACGCTTTTACTCTGCGCCGCTCAAGATCGAACTCTGGGCATGCAATTGGCCCGATCCGTTGCAGGGAGAGGCGGGCTGGGCTGGGCTGGGCTGGGCTGGGGGTGGCCCACCTGGCAGAAGGCCCGTGGCTGCAGGGTTGTCGCAGCGCAGCCAGGAAGGGCCCGTCTCGCCGGCCTCGGAGCTTGCCTCTCTGAACCTGGGGACCGAAAGCCGGCATCTGCTTTCCGTGGAGGCGCTGCCCCCACGAGAGCCCTGCCGGATGGGGCCAGGTGGGGCCCCACAGGCCTCCAGCAGGGCGGAGGCGGCCGGGTGCCCACGGGACGAAGCCCCAGGCGGTGCAGGCACGGTGGAACGGGTGCCGCGCTGGCCCGGACGTCTCCTCCGTTTGGCCCGCCCGAGAGGGGCTGCTCCAGGAAGTTGGTCAAGTTGGTCGGGGCAGCTGAGTGGGGTCTCCTGGAGGGCAGGGGGTGCTCCAGGCAGGGGATTGGCCGCCTCCCCTGGCTGGATGCGGGTTCTGCCAGCTGGAGTTGCCGCCACCGCCGCTCCGGGAAGCGGCTTCTCCGGGGATCCTCCTGCCACGTCGCCGTGTCACCCGGGAGGCAGAGAGAGGGGAGAGCCGCTCTCATTTTTCAGCTGCAGCAATTTTACGTGCAATTAAGTTAATTAATTGCATATCTCAGTGCTGGAATGGAGACACACGATCTGCAGAGACCCTCCCAACGGACATCCATCTCCCCAGCGTGTGGAGGCCTGGCCCTCCGGAGAGGCTGTGCCACGGCTCGGACCAGCTGCTCAGCAGCCCCCCCTCCCCGGGGCCTCCCAAGTCTGCCTGGTGCCCCCGGGGGCAAGCACGGAACGGGCCTGCCTTTGGGCTCAGCGTGTGACCTCCCAGGAGGGGGGCAGCTGACCCCCAGTGCCTCTCGCGTTCCTATGATCCCCTGGCGGGGCCCCCACCCTCGGGAGCCTCGCTCGCTCTGAGCCGGTTCTGCTGGCCAGGGGGAAAGCAGGCTTCTGGGACAGGCCCTCTGCGGCAGGAGCGAAAGGCCGGAGGCGCCCCCCCCCAGGGCAGATGCGGCTGCTGCCCTCCCCGGACCGCCCAGCCAGAGCCTGCAGGGCGGGAGACGTGCCTGCCAGCCGAGCGGGGCCGGCCCTCGCCCCCTTGCCCGCCACTGATGCCTTACTTGGGGGGGGTGCTGTGTTGATTTTGCAAAGCCATCTCAGAGCAAGCTGCCGAAGGGAGCATCCTGGACGGACGGACGCCTCACCTCGAGGAAACCCGAGACGGCCGGGGGCAGGGGTGAGAGGCGACCCGCATGTCAGAAGGCTGGCTTCGCAATGGGTCAACGGATCCAGTTGCCGGGTCCCGACTCTCGTCACTCCGTGCCCCCCCCGGGGCCTCCCCGGCAGGCAGGGCTGGGGCCGATATGAGTCACGGCTGCTGCGTCCGTGCAGGAGCCCCGCGGAGCGTGGCGGCCGGCCGGCCAGGGAGCGGATCCATGAAGACCGGCCGCAGAGCCAGCTGGCAGGGGACGGGCAGAGCCCTGCTGGCATGGCAGGGAGGCCCGCGAGTCCGGGCACCTCGGGGCCACGCGGGCATCTGCCTCGGGGAGCGGGCCGGTGCCTGGAGCCTCTCGCCCGGAGGAGGGAGGGCCAGTGCGTGACGTGGGTGCGTGGCACTGCGGAGGAGTGCAGGCCAGGCATCCCAGGGCCGAATTCGGCGCTGCAGGACTTCCCGGTGAGCCCCTTGCGGCTCCGCCTCCGCTCTGGCGTGAGGGCACAGGCGCACGCGGGTGGGCCGTGCCGCAGGCGCGGAGGAGCAGCTCCTTCCTCGGACGGCCCTCGGCCTCGTGCGCTGCTGAGCGGCGGACCCAGACGGGGGCTGTGGCGCTGCCCGGGAGAGACGTGCGGTGCCACGACACAGCGGCCACCCAGGCGCTCCCGTGGCCCCTCAGCGGGCTGCCGGCTCGTGCCTTGTCAGCTCGCCCGCCCGGTTTTCTCTTCCTTCTCGCGCGAACATTTCCCCGGCTTTCCGTGCGCTTCCCCCAGCGCATCCATCGGCTGTGCACATGCTTCAAATCGCGCTGCATGTTTGGAAATGTGCGGACTTGAAGGGCTTCCGTTCTGGGGTACCGGAATTCGCCACGCTCGGCTGCGGGCAGGCCAGGAGGAAATGCTCAGGCTGCCCCCCCTGGCCTGAGCAGGTGCTTCCCACTGATCCCCCAGCCTGGATGGGGTAGAGAAGCCCCCTTTGCCTGCTGAAGTGCAGCCTGCCTTGCCGCGGAGCCAAACCAAGCCGTGTGCGGAGGCTTTCCGCAGAGAGCCAGCCAGCCAGCCAGCGGAGAGGCCCCGAGAAGCAGCTGCCGGAGCCGCCGCCTGCGTCCAGCCGCCCACCTGAGCTCGGGCCTGCCGGGTTCTGCTGATCACGATGGCCTCGGGCAGCCCTGGAGGCGGGAACCGTCTAATTTGGCCGGCCCCGGGATCCTCCGCCAATTAGCCTCGCGTCCGCGGGCCTGGCCAGGGCTGCCCTTTGCCTCCGAAGGAATCTCAACGAGCTGCACCCCCGCCCCCCGGCCCCGAGAGACAGGCTGTGCTCGTTTCCACTGCCCAGCCAGCCCCCCCCCCACCCTGTGGACAGCCTCCTGCTGCCCCCGCACCTCTGGGGCGGCCAGACACCTGCACGCCGTAATCAGATCCGATCCCTTCACGGCGGATAATGCTTGCCGGGAAGGATGTCACCGCGGGCCTTTCATCTTGCTCCAGAGCTGCCGAGCCGGGGGCACTGCCGCGGGCCGGAGCAGCTCAGGTTAATGGGCTCGTTGGCAGCACGGCCGTTCCGCTCCCCTCGCGGAGGACGTGCTCTGGGGCCCCGGCTGGGGGCCCTCCGAGATGCCAGGACCGCCGAGGCGCCTTGCCCGGCCCGCTGCTCCCGGCTGGAGGGTGCGGTGCTGGCAGAGAGCCCCTTTCCGCCCGCCGCCCACATCCAGTCCAGGGCGGCAGTGCGAGCCCCCTCCTCCTGTCTCTCCGTCCTTGGCCCCGGTTCTGCCCCCGCGCATGAGCCAGGGAAGCCTGCCCAGGCCGGGCCCCCGCAGGGCCCCCCCACCCGCAGGAACACCCTCTGCGCCTCGGAGGGTGCCGGGAAGGGGCGGGCTGGGCTGGGCTGGGCTGGGCTGGGGCCGGACACACCTGCAGGTGTGCAGCAGGTGGGGCAGATCCCACGGCTCACGTTGCCTCCAGAGGCCCCCCTGCCCGGCTCTGGGGACTGCCTCTGCCCCCAAAGCCTCCCCCCCGCCCCCAGGAAGCAGCCCCAGGAGCACGGACCTTGTTTGGTGGGTGATGCCAAGGGGGAAGGAGCCGCACCGTTGGCACTGTCTGGCCCGGCCCGGCCGTTCCCTCCTCTCCTCACTCGCTCCCCCTCCAGGACTCCTTCCTCAGCCTCAAGGAGGCTCTTTAAAGTTATGAAGAGTGTATGCTTAATTATATTTGCATATGAAAAATTGGGTCTAATTAGTGTGATTGATTATTATTTTAACCTTAACGACATTTTGAGTATCTGTCCCTCCCTAATAGCAAAAGTATCACTAATAAATCAAGGCCTTCAAATGGCAGTGGTCGATTGAGCTGCCTTACGAAATATATTTTATTAATATACCAGAATGTATTGAATCTGAAACAAGTCAAACAACTGCTCATTTATTAAACCGTTTAAATGTCAGCTTTATACAGGCATAATATTGCAGGAAATATGTTCCTGTGGAAGACATCTGCAGACCAACCAGACTCAAAATATTAGTTATTTCGCTCAAATATATGAAGGAAATAAAAATTCAATTATGTAATTTATGGCACTAAATAAATTTATATCGGCTAACATAAATGTTTTGAATTAGCAGGCATACTTTTCTCGCAAAGTTTCCTGCGCTCCGGCAGTGGCTCTCCAGCCGGAACCTGCAGCCCGGAGTGGGGGCGCGGGGGGGGCAGGAGTGGCCCCGGACCACTGCGCCAGGTGGCCCCCCACAGGTCCAGCCGGGGGCCCGCGGCGCGTTGCTGGGCCGGCCCTTCGGCCATCGCTAGAAGTCGGGGTAGGTCACATGGCAGTAAATTGAATCAGACGGAGGATGATTAGCAAAGTGAGGCAAGAAATCATTAGATTACGCCGCCGTGCCAGGCCCGCTGCTGATCTGTCACAAATTTGGGCTCCTAACGAGCTCCGAGCTAATGCGCCTGGTCAAAATAGCTCCTGTCGTTCAGCTCCAAGAAGAGGCATCTCTGCCCTCGCCGCTTCCCACCCACAAGCCTTCAGCGCAGTTTGGCGGGGGCAGTTAACAAGCTGCAAGGTCCAGATGGCCCCACCAAACGTGGACAGCCGGGGGGGGTCACACATCCTCTGCGTGGGTGCCGGGAACCGAGGACTCGTGGCCTGCAGCCTGGCCGCTGGACCGCTGGCGGCGCTCTCCTGCCCGGGCGCAGGGCCCCGGCCCCGTGCCGGAGAACCAAGGCGCGACCAGTTCTGGGTGGGGCTGCAGGCCCCCCAAAGGTGCGGCATCCGGCCTGGGGGCCCCAGAGCCGCCGTGCCCCCTTGAGGCTTGCGGGCCCTCGGCGGCGTGCGTGCCCTTCCCTGCCCGCTGCCCTTTCCCTCACCAAGAGGGCGGCCTCTCGCAGGCCGCTGTGCGCCCAGCCCGGGGAGGGGGGCCTTTCCCAGGAGGGGGGGCTCGCTCTGCCAGTGCCCTGCTTCGCATGCAGAGGCCCCCTGCAGCCCACGGCATCTCCAGGGGCCGCTGCGAAGGGGCCGGCCTCGTGCAAGCGACCCTTTCCCTCCCCCTTTCCTCAGCGTCCGCATCCTTGGAGTCTCTGCCTCTTTTCTCCTCTTCCCCGTGCCAATTCCCGGGGGGGGGGGAGAATCCTGAGGAATCCCACAGTTCTCAGCCTCAGCTGGGGCTCAGGGGGAGGCAAAGCCAGGACATTCCATTCCCAGTGCCCCCCCGCCCCCCCCCAGGACCTCTTGCACCTGGGATACCCTGGCAGGTGGTGAATTATTTGGCCTCCTGAACTAAGGTGAGAGGCAACCTGTGAAAACTGCCCGGTGGGCAGAGCGCGGGGTCGGGCAGGGACACGGGGCACCGCCACGCGCTCGGGAGGCAGCCCTGCTTGTGGCGCTTTTGGGCTGTGCCCCCCCAGCCCCCCTTCTTGCCCAGGGATCACATACGCTTGAATTCCATCTATCTGCTCAAAAATAAAAATGGGCATCAGAGTTTCTGGGCCAGCAAATTACACCCGAAGGAGCCCCGGAAGAGAAATCGGGAAAGTCTCGACATGTGGCCAATCCACGGCCCCCTCAGCTGCCCGCCGGGTCCGGCTCGTCCCACTGCTTCTCCTCCTCCAGGCCGGAGAAGCGGAAAGGCCACGGGTGGCGGTGGGAGCGGCTTTCACCGCTCCACCTGCAGCCTCCTCCCCACTGTTCTGGGACACCTTTGTGGAAGAAGGCGAGTTAGCGCATCAGCTCCTCATTTTTAACCTTGCGCGCGTCGCCCATTTTTAAAAGACTCGCTCCGGAGGTGGCCGCCTCCATCATCGCCCCTCCAGCTCCGTGCCGCGCTCGCGGCTGGGGACCATCCGTCAGCCATCAGGCGTCGTCAACTGCGCCTCTCTCTCGCCATGAATTATGCAGGAAGGAGTGCAGTCCCTTCGCGGCACCAGCGCAAGCAGGAGAAGCCCTGCTCTGTTTTGATCGAACGCCTGGAAAATCCTCCCGATGCTTGACGCTCGCTCGTCTCCAGAACTGCTCCCCACGTTAGCCACAAGGAATCCTTTCTGATTCCCCGCCTTGTTTCTGGCTTCCCCTCCTTCCCTCGGAGATGCTTCAATTAGTGCCGCTTCCTTCCCGCCTCCGACTCGTCCCTTCCCTTCAGGATCGTTGCAGAGGCTGGGAAGAGGCATCACTCCTTGTCTCCGTCTCCGGAGGGATCGCGTGCCGGCGCCGCATCCGAGCCAAGGCCCCTCGTGGGTCAGCCATCTTTGCATGGCCGCCTCTCGGGAGGGAGTGGGCCCGGTGCTGAGTCAGGCCTTCTCCGCTGACAGGAGCCGTGTCAACAGTAATCCGTACACGGCTTCGTAACCCGGGGTGCCCCTCACGCCAACCTCTGTGCGGGGTTGATGGCCATGCGCTCCGGAAAGAGCAGCTGCCACCCGAGCGTCTGCTCTGCAGGCCGGCGTGACGTTCCGGCGCCCGCTTCCAAATGGCTGCAGCGATGGGCCAGCTGCGTCGGAGACGGCCCTGCCCTGGGGATGCTTCCACGCGCCTGGAATAAGATGTGCCGTTTTCAGAGTGCTTCGCCACATGTCTGAAGCGGGGCAGAGAAGGGAAAGGGGCAGCCAGGGCGGCGTGCCGGCGGAGACGCTGCGGACAAGGCGATCTCGGCGGCCCGCGCTCCTTCATGCGCCGCCTCCCTTGGCAAGGAAGCGCGTGCCCCGGCAGGATGCCGGCTAGGTGCGGAGCCCTCTGCAGAGGCAGGGAGCCCCCGCGTCCTCCTCCGGGGCTCTTCCCTTGGAGATGCGCGAGCACGGGGAAAGCAGCTCCTCGCCCGAAGGAGCACGATGGACGCCGGCTCATCTCCAGGAAGGAAGACTTCGCAGGGTGTGGAAGCTGGGCGCCATTTCCGTTTGCCCCCCCACGGCCCCCCCGCTCTCCTGGCTGGGACCACTCCGGGAAGGGCTTTCTCGCCAGTGCGGTGAGCGTGGTCCTGCATCCGGGGATTTATGGCCCGTCCAACGCCCGCCTTCCCTCCCTCGGCAGAGACAGATTGCTCTCCCCGCTGCAGCCGGAACCCTTCCCGGAGCCGAGGCGGCGGAGGCGGCTCGGCCTGAAGGACACACGGGGGGCAGCGGGGTCCCCCGAGCGGAGCCCTTCGTGGCTGAGGCCTTATCACTTTTATTCACGTAATAGAGATGGAGTCGCCAGGCCTCAGCGGCGCATCCATCTCGAGATTTATTAACCAATTTAAAATACTATTGTCTTTCACTTCAGTGTGAGATTGAGGTGTGTTGTCGAAGGAATATAAAGCTACAGTCGGCAGGCGCTGCTGCCAGACGCCGCTGCCTGCAACTCAATAGATATTCATGAACACTCCCGTATTTAGGGAAGGAAATAACTTAATGCCGACAGAGTCGATGGAATAATAGCCGTTTCCTCACTGACTTGCAGCCCTCGGAAAATGAGATCGCACCTGCCTTCATTTTTCTTGTCTTTTCCTGCGTTTCTTGCAGCAGAATGCGCCTCCGAACGGGATGCGCTGCGCATCGCTAATGAGCGGTGGGACGGGAGGCCAGCCGTCCTCCTCTGGGCTGGCAGGCGCAGGCGACGCCAGCCCCACCGGGAACGCCCCGCTCCCCCCGTGCCCAGGTAGGACCACCCCGTGCGTGCGCAGACCGCGGGCGTGCAGCCCTCCGCCTGCGCTCTGCCCCCCCCCACAAGCGGTGCACTCCACACAAAGCGACGCGTCCGCTGGCTGCGGCAGGGCTGGCCCTGCCTGAAGCCGGTTCGAGCCCCGGGACCGCTTGCCTGGAAGTGAAACGGGGCCACTGGGGCCAGGCCCACCGGACGAAAGGGCGAGCGCCTCTCTGCAGGCCCACCGGATGAAAGGGCGAGCGCCTCTCCCGCGGCGGGCTGGCCGGCCCTTTCACCCGCGGGGACCTGAGCCAGGCGGCTGCTCGGGGGAGCTTGGCGTTGGCGTGAAATTGTAGGGGCTGCACCGGGGACCTGCCCCAGCACCGTGGCGCTCTGGCATGTGCCGCCCACAGCAGCGCATGGGTGTGCAGGTGGTGTCCCCTGCAGCCGTCCCTCTGCTTGCGGCTCAGGCGGCCTTGACCGGCTCTGGCTGCTGGCCCGGCTACACTCCTGTCTGGACAGGGCCAGGGCCAGGGCCAGGGTCAGACGGACACCAAGACAGGCCACTGCAGCCCACAGGGTGGCTCCTCGGGTGCTGCGGCCTGTGCAGGAAGCGGCAGCCAGAGCGAGGACCTGCAGCAGCCGGTCGGAGCCCTCCCCACGGATCCTGGCCCACCGGCCCTGCGCCTGCCTGCTTCCCAGCCCGGTTCAAGGCCCATAAAACCCCACACGCTTCGGAGCCACAACGCCTGGCAGCCACGGAGCCTTCGGAGTGGCGCCACTGCCCGGGGGCCACGCAGGGAAGGGCTCCCAGTCCTCCCGGGCGGCTGCCACTTTGGGGAGGTCGTGCCGTGGCAACGGGAGGCTGGAGCTGAGCAGGCGCTGGGGGGCCGCGCAGGCT